TGCGTAAGGCCATTTCAGCAGCTTGTACCCGGGTTCGAAGTTTAGCAATAATATTTTTTCCATTAAATGGCTACTGCTTTATCGAGGTGGTAAGATTGTGTATTCCAGTTATGCTGAGGGTTCTGATGACGGTAGCATAGCAATTGACAGGGTTAATCTTGCAAGATAGTTCTTTGCGAAGGAGTTAGAAAAAAGGAGGCCAAAACCACGTAACCAACATAAGTACGACCTTAAAAATACGCATACCGGATCGGTCTATGTTCAGGTCAACAAGGACCACGCCAGATTTCTGAACATCTGGCAAAACGTAGGCTATAAGGCTCAGCGAACTCTGCTCGGCAACCAGGACAGAACGCTGTGCGGCTGTTGGAAGGACGAAGGGTCCAAAGGAAACGTATGTGGGAAAATAGTGACAATGGAGTGCTGCTACCGATCTAATCCAAGCACTTAAGACCATCAGGGACAGATATTTGCCATTTGAAAGGAAGTGTATCCGATACAGAAGTGACGAAAGAGCGATTACGCGACCAGAGGCGCTTCACAATGCGCAATAACCTTTCTTGAACGTTCATTTAATCGCAATATAAAGGGTTCTGAAAATGGAGAAGAAATTCGACAAGTCATGGAAGGAAAGAAACCGAAAACATGCTTGGGATCCCGACTCAGGCAGGTGCCCGAAGACTCCCTGGAAAGACACCCGTTTTAATGGGAGAGCAAAAAGAGATAAGTAAGAAATTAGCCGTAGCGATGAAAAGCACGGAAACTAGTACTGAGCGTGAAGGCTGTTCCAAGAAACGAAATGATGAAAATAATTTACAACGTCAGTTGTGCTGAAGGTATTAGTAAATCATTGTACAGCACCGCTCTGGTCATGATAAAAGAACTTGGATATGACGTTGATAAGAAGGCGAAACGAAAAATTCGATTTGAACTGAAACTCAGCAAGTTACGGAAGAATGCAAGCTATTTAAAGTGTTTGAAGGACAAGAAATTGAAAAATGAGAAGATAAAGAAAGCCTTGGAAGGAAGGTACCAACTGAGAGAGCGAACAATTTTGGAGGTGCTAGAAACACTGAAAAAAAGGATAACCACTGTTGTAACCAAAACAACGCGATGTGATTTACGAATAAACCAGTACACGCAGAATATGCAATTTCGATATGATCAAACACAGTCCTACAAGAATTTGACGAATGAAGAGAGAAATAAGGAGGGGACTCCAGATAAGAAACAGTTGCATTTTGGTAAAGGGTTATAAGACAACTCAAAGAAGCATTATCGATAAGCAGAATGGACTGATAAGTTCCAAAAGAAGCTGCAGATCACAAATACGTAGGATCTTAGAATTACGACGAAAACTGGCAAAGCAAGCCAACCGACGGAAAGATCCGATATCATCGGGAAAAGACGCATTCCATTTATTATGGTTAAAAATCTAATCATGTTTGATCCAAAGTTAGTGCAACAGTTTGCGAAGATCCTGGAAACGGCTAAAATCGATGGATAGATCATGACTGGATGTACTGTACGGGTATTGAGGGATAAATCCATGGGTGCTGTTCCGAGAAATTCTAGTCCAATTACGCGTTTACCGACCATATTTAAATTACTGACTGGAATAGTGGCTGATGCAATGCTGCAGAATATAATTAAGGAAGATATTCTGCCCAAGGACCAAACAAGAAAATCGCCGGAGCCTCGTGGAATAAAGGTTCAGTTGCTCACTGATAATTCTGAAGAATCACAGGATGGAAGCCAGTACATCGCCTGAAATGATTATAAAAAGGCTTCTTCTCATGCACATAAATCAAGAAATCGCTGGGAATATTTGGAGTCAGTTAGAATATTTGAACATTTCTGCCAGCAGCAATGAAGCGGTAGAAAGGAACAACGAAATGTAAAGGTTAGACGTAGCGTATGTCAAGGAGGTTCCCAGTCGCTGTTATTGTTTCTCATTTCCGTGATGCCGCTGTCGATGGTGCTGAACGAAACACCCCATGGGTACGAAATCGCTCAACGTTCAGGAAAAATCCATCACTTGCCGATGATGGATGATTTGAAACTGCATGGAAAATCAGAAGAAACGAAATCACTGATACCACGGTCAGGAAACTCAGCCAGGACATCGGCATGGACCTTGGAATTGATAAGCGTGTAACATAAACAAATAAAAAAGAAAGAATCGCAGAATCAAACGGCATGAAACTCAGAGGGAAGACTGATCAAGAGCCCCAATAAAGAAGAAGATCATGAGTACCTGGGTGTCTTGCAAGCTGATGAAACTCGTCAGCCGTCACAGAGAAGGCCGGTGCGGAATATGTTACAAGAATTTGGGAAATTCTGAAATCGAAATTGAAAGGTGGAAACACGATCAGTCATTAACACACTGGGTTATCCTAGTCATTCGGCATAGTGCTGTAGTCGATGACTGTACATCCAGTGGAGCAAGACGCAGTGGACTACAAAACAAAGAAGATTACGACAGAATATCACGCTTTACACCCAAGGAGTAAAATCAATCAACCGTACAGAAACGGCGGGGAAGGACTACTGCAAGGGAAGCAAGCCGTGGTAAAATAAAAAACCGCTGAACAATTAGGTGAAAACCAAAGAGGAGAAGATGTTGACTGAAGTCTGGAAAGATGTCACAAATTCTAATGAAACAGAGGAAAGGAACAGTGAAAAGACCCTTCAGTGAATACCGAAGGAAACCGCTGCATGGCCAATGTATGAAGAAGATTAAAGAAAAAGTCGATCGCGTAAATAACTGGAGATATCTGCAGGCTGGAACTCCAAAGAAGGAAACATTTTGGTAAGGACTCATTCTGCGGCACAATAATAAGCTTTACTAACAAAAGCGATGAAAACCATGATGAAAAAGATGGCCAACGATAGCACAGCAGATGCAGGCTATGCAAGGAAACAGAAGAAATATCGCAGCATTTGATTTCTGGATGTAGCAAGATTGCTCAAACGGATAACAAATAGTGAAGTGGCAAGGTAACTGCAATTCTGCATTGGGACTTGTGGAAGAAGTACGAGCTGCCATCTGCGAAATACTGGTAAAAGCGTAAACAGGAGAAAGCCGTGAAAATGAAAAAGTCAAGCTCCTATGGAATTTGATGATTCAAACGCATAAAAAGCTGGAGCAGAACATACCTGATATTACGGGAGGGGGTCGTGGAAAACAAGTGAAACTGATTGACGTCGCAATACCAGAAGAAAACAGAATCGAAGATAAAAAAGTCGAAAAAATTACCAGACGAAGATCTGAAGACTTGAAGTAATATGTCTGTGGAAGAAAGTAACAGTGATTCCAGTAATGACTGAGGTACGTGGCGCAGGATTGTGATGACTGGGAAGACATGTGGAGGGCAGCGGTATCGATTGGATTGCAATTGGACAGCTGCAGAGAGCTGCCATCCTTAGAACCTGTCGCATTCTGCGGCGATACCTCACTGACTTAGATTCTTGGATGAAATCTGAGCCAGTGATGAACCAACATTCCAGTCTGAGCACCTGGCGGAGTGTGTGATAAAACATAATAATAATAAAACACGCTTGAATTCAATGGTATATATCAAAGAAAAACATACATATTAAAAAAAACTCATTTTTAGCGATAGAGGCACAAATGAATGTTGATGAACAAGAGCAAGCTTAACGATTGATCCACGTCTCTCGTCGCATCATTTCAACCATCATTCAGCTCATTCCTCTGTATATGAGAAATCCCATGTCACCCAGAATGAAATTTGCAAACGTTCCATTATCGTGGACAACACTGGAGCCATACATATGACCAACGACCACATGCCAGGGAGGGGAAAACATTTTATCGAAGCTTTTCTTTATGTACTCTGCCATCTAGAAAATACCGTTAGAATAACCGAAAACTTTTGCAGAAATAATATGCATACGTTCATTTCCATTTCGAACTTATCGATGGCATTATCAGCTTTGATGACCGCTTCCGCGAGCATGTCGTCATTCATATCCAAATCCAGTAGCTCCAATGGCTTTTTCGTCAGCTCTGACATTTTCTCCGTGAGTTTCTCCTTGCGTTCTTTCGTAAATACTTCAGGTTGAGGTTCATCATGTTTCGACTGCGACATGTTCATGTGTGTTGATAAACACCATATTTTTTGAAAGCATTGAGGAGCACTAACCGGCAAAATGTTAAATCATTAGCAAAATTTTAGTTTAATCTATCCGTAGCCACTTTAAACTATGAGTTAATGTAAAATAAAACGACGCATTAAGCATGTTTTGACTACTGATACCGGGTTTACACAGTGAAAACTGTAAAGCAGCTTACTTTACAGCGATACTGTGGTAGTGTCTGGCGGATGGTAGTAATAACATCGGGTTTTCCCAAAACACTGCACCACCGCCTTGACTCTGGTTGCCTATGGAGCTCATTTAAACGGATTACCGATCCATGGTAATAAGGAACCTGCAGCGTGTAGGACGCAGGAGTGCAGTGAAGATAATATTTGCCGTCTGAATCAGAAAGCTGCAATTCTTGAAGATTGTCGCACCATCTTCATCTTCATCTTCATCTTCCATCGCCGCTTCTCCTTTCGGGTCGCGGGAAAATATTGTAGCACCATATTTTCCTCAATTTTCTGACGATTAAACATGACTCTTTTAGTTTTTAGTTCATGGCCAGACTGAGGAAGAGCATAAA